GCCAAATCAGAAATATTTAGCAAGAAAAAAATGTTTCTTGTAAGTTTTAGTTGCTTAAGTCTAATGCTTTTTAATTTGTCCATTCTCATGGTCTCAAATAAATATTGTTGAAGGTGATTCCTTTTCTTTTAGCAAAATTTCGTCGTGTGTTGGTATCATCGAATAACATATTTGTTTTCTATAATGCAACATATAATAAATATGTTTTTTTGATTAAATGTTTGATATCATCACGGAAATTATAATAATTTTGTTAGCTGCACCTCAAAACAACGACTGTTAAATACATACCACGTTAAAGCTCTTAATCTAAGGTTTAGAGAAAATAATGAATTGTTTGCTCGTGCGAGTCCTACTATCCAGTATACATACAGAGTATAAGTATGTATATAGAAAGGTTTTGATAGTAAACACTTTTATTTTATTAAAAGATTGTCTTTATTTTTTTGTTTGTTAATTTTCTCTTTCGCTAAGTTTCGTCTGTACTTTAAAAGTTTCAAACAATCATATATTCAGTTATTTCTCTTTCTTATTTTAATAAATGGTAAGTTTGTATTTTTTGGTGTTTAAAAGATTTTTTTAATTAATCATAAGTTTATTATTTTTTCATTTCGAACCTTCTCTTCTTCTTCTTTAAATGGCGCTACAACCCCTTCTAAGTCTTGGCCTGGTTAACAATGTTCTTTCATTCTGCCCTGTCGGATACTTTCCTTCGCCACTGATATTCATGGTTTTAAGATCAATCTCTACGTCGTCTATCCATCTTTTACGGGGCCCTCCTCTTGTTCTACTTCCTTGGAGCTTCCATCTCTATACTACTTTTACAGTTCGATTATCTGGCATTCTTTTCAGGTGACCAAGCCAGTTTAGTCTTTGTGACTTTACAAATCTAACAATATCTGCGCTCTGCATTAGTTCATTCAGCTCGTGGTTTATTTTAATTCTTTACGAACCATCGCTGCATTGGGTTGGTCCAAATATCTTCCTTAGTATTTTGCGCTCAAATATTCTCAGTTGATTTTCAATACTGGTTGAGAAAAACAAAGAAATGCAAAAGATATACAAGTATAAAATTACAAAATTATGGTAATATAAAAAACGCAGTAGTCAGAACAGTTTTATTTACGATGAAATACAATGAACTAATTCTAAAATACTAAAGCATATGTTTGAAAAAATTGCAAAACCATATGGATGTAGGTTAGAGGTGCTACAGGTATTAAGTGTTGAAAGGTAAAACTACAAAAAGTCGAAAAACAAAAAAAAAACAATAAAAAAAATAAAAAATGTGCCAAAAAATTACAAGCAAATACTTGTAAGAAAATATTGATCACACTTAATCCATGTATGATATACCTTAAAAGATAATTTAAAATATATTAGAGTAAGAGCATGGAGAAGAGTTTCTAAAGGGATGAGTAAAGGATTGTTCTGAAGAAGGCCCTAGCTCATTACGAGCTGTGATGCCACTGTGATTACTACCTCGAAGTATTGTAAGGGAAAATAGAATATTTTAATAGAGACAACCTATTTGAATATTACCAAATCGAACCTTTTTTAAGTGAGTTGAAACAGACCTCGCTGACAAGTCTCAACGTTAAAATGAGCAGTATACAAGGATTAAACAAAAAGTGAAGAAAAAAATAATTAAAATTGCTGGAATATAGAAGCGTTATAATTAAACAGAAAATGTAGTTGGACGATAATTTCGAAGCCACCTATTTTTATTAAATAAAATTAAACAAATTAAAAATTAAACAGGTAAACGAGATGTAATGAGATTAGAACAAAATAAATATTTACACCGGGGATTGGTTAATCTAGCTAGCATAAATCAATATAGTTTTTTGGTGATTTGGGTTATTTCACTTACTCCCTCATACTATTTACTAGTACCACCTATTCTCACGCTGTTAAAAAGTCTTTATACAAGATAAAATATAAGGACCATAAAGAATGTATAAAATATATTAAAACTTTATTATCATACATAGAATAATATCCATTAAAACTGGAATTAATAGGAGGTAACTCATATTCTTTATATGTAATCCCTAAAAAGCATACGTTATTGCTTTCTCAGCGCTCGATAAATATATCTCCAAGCTCATCATCACACGAAATAGCACCCCTTCTTCATAACTCCTATAAATTCCTTCACGGATGTATGTATATACGTAATTAAGTTTCAAATTTTCCATGTATGTCCCAACAGATTTATAATCTCCGTCGTCTCATCACTTTCCCCAGAATATCAACACCGACCATTTAACGCCCAAAACTTATATCAAAATTCACGCTCGAACAGCTCAACAAATGAAAGTTTTGGCCATCCAGCCAGTGGAGTGCTAATATTAAGGGTGTTAATATACACAAAATATTATTAAGTATTATGATGTACTGATAGAGAATTAATTTTTTATAAATGATTTCTGCCGTATCAACTCTACGCATGGTTGTTAGCGACATGTCATTTTTTAGCTTAAAATTTGTGAAATAGAAGAATTATTGCTCAAAAATGTTTAATAATTTTTATAACTTTTCTAATTTTCTAATTTATTAGTATATACCAGTTGTATTTTTTTGCATCGAATATTATCGGCGTGGATTCTGATATGACCTAAACTCAAGCGAATATTAACCTAACATTATTGGCAATATGTGTCTGTTTCTTCTCCTAAAGTTTTATAAATAGTTTGATTTTAATTGTAACTTACAATATTTACGTTCACAATTAAAACAAATTTTAGATTTAAATAATATCTTAACGGTACTGGCTACCCCTTCATCAGTTTTGGTGACTGTTCATTCTAAGCTGCATGTCTGAAACAGGAATTTTTTCTATCCTCCTACAGAAACTTTTATTCTACTTTTTTTTTTACTTAATTGGTAAAGACCAATTAGCCAGACGATTTTTTTTTTTAAACTATAATAATTTAAAATGGAAAACTTAAAAAGAAAGCTCATCCTTCTTCACAAAACTTTTATTCTAGTAAAAAATTTTAGATCAAAATATTACAAATCCAATCATTACTTTTGAAATTTGACATCTTCTTGAAGTTTGCATAAACCAAGATTACTTTGAATTTAATAATCAAATATGTACAAATAACAGTGCATGACTTATAATGGGCAACCCTCTAAGCCCATTGCTACCAGATATTTTTATGGATCATCTAGAGACAAACATTTCAAAACATCCTATCTTCAAAAAGTTTTTATATTGTTACAGATACGTAGATGACATACTGGTATGTTTTACAGGAACTAACAAACAGTCTAACTAAATCAATCCATAAATATTTTAGATTTAAAAATCATCAGACTTAAAACAGACACGACTTCTCCATATTTAATAAACCTACCCATACTGACACGACTATATACAATTCATCATCTTATCCCACACAACATAAACTAGCAGCCTATCATACTATGTTAAATAGGTTAACAGAAATTCCGATGCAAAAATACAACTTTGAGGCAGAATTAAATATCATTAAGCAAATAGCAGTAAACAATGGATACAACGAACAAACAATTAATAAAATATAAATCAAAAACTACTCAAGAAAGCCCTGAAAATAGTATTTCCACGACCAGAGAAAAAACCCAGTACCTTCTGCTCGATTACATAATAATATTCAGTCAAAATATAAAGCAGAATTGCCAAACACATAAAAAAGGAATAACACCAGCCTTCAGAAAAAATAAAAACTTGTGCAAATATATTAAAAACGAAAAGAGCTAAAATAAAAAGTAATAACACAGTGTTGCATACAAACTTAAATGTGGCGACTGCGCAAAAACTTACATTGGTCAAACTGGTAGAAATTTTAATAAACGAATAGCAGAACATACAAGGTCTTTTAATAATAGAAAACAGATTCTACATACGCACTTTACCTTCTAGATCATAATCATTCTTTTAATCACGAATTTCCTTCTTCACATTTAAAATAAAGGCCTAAAGCTATCTTGGTTAGCATCTATGAAAGTTAACAAATTAAAAAACACAGATATAATTCTGAATGACTAACTTGAGACAAACAATTCTCCCCTCCTCAAACTATTTCATTAAATAATATAAAGTGTAAACGCATGACAAAAATAGATCACTTGAGAAAGGCACTTTGCCGAAATATCTGTAGTGATAAGATTTAATAATAAATTTTGCGGAAGTTTTGAAAACAAAGTTTTTATTGTTTTATTGTTACATATAAAATGAATTTCCATCAAGTAATGGTTGAATCCACCAATTAATTTAAAGAGAAATAATTCTGAACACTTTCAAACATCCATCACATCACATAAAATAATAACAAAAATAATAAAATTACCTTATTTAATTACAAAAATATTTAAATTTCAAAAATATAGAAAACGTAGTATAAAAGTTCGCGATAGTCTACTGTTCCGCCTAGGGTAACATTTTTTTTTTGTTTGCTATGAGGCCTGAAAAGTGTGATTTCTGTTCTCGATAAATTTCTTATTAACTAATTTGTGTATTTTAAACCCGTAGTGGTTTTAATCATTTATAAAACCTTTTCATTCGTTGTGCCTATAGATCTTCAGATTTTTGCAAATATCCAAATTTTAAAAACTTCTAGTTGTCGCATTAATACTGTTAATTCTTAGAATGAATATGTCAAATTAATACAATAATTCTAAATTAATATAAGGTTTTACAAACAAAAATAAATATCAAGTTATAAGGTAAAGTTTTTGAAAAGTTTTTTTAATGGCTGAAAAACTTACACTTTGATTTCAAATTGACAAAAAAATTTATTTGCTATCTAGTGCCCACTTTATTCAAACTTAAGTAGGATTTCTATTTAATTGAAAGCACCAAACTAAAAATGTCTTTAATAATAATTGAAAATAAAGTAAAACAGTAGTTAAATATTAATATAAATTCTTATTGTTACACCAATGCATCCACCAACAATCCAATTTCTCATTTTGTAGGCCATTTTAGTAAGAGATTAAATTTGTTTCAGATATAACGACCACGTCGTCAGAAGGATCCCAGGAGAACAACTTTCACGCGTCATCGACCCAACAATTTCATCTTGATAACGAGAGTGACACTGGCTACAAGATAGCCCTCAAAGTTTCCGATATTGCTGGGGATCTGTACGAGGAGGTCAAAAAGTTAAGGGAAATCAACAGTGTTCTAACACAACTGGTCAAAAAGGACGATGAACTTTCAAGGACTTTAAAATTTGAGGGTGTGTTGCCGGAATTTGATGATGCCCAATATGTTGCGCAGATTTTAGTTAATGAGAAACTAAGGCTGACTGTACCAGTGGTGAATGCTACGAGAAATTCCGATAAAAGTGTCAGTTTTCAAGTAGCTAGTCTGGACGACAAAGTATTTCTTATTAGATCAGCAAAAAAATCGTTAGTAGATTCGAAAATTAAATTAGTGTATTAGGTTCTATAATATCTGTGATATTAGAAATAGTAAAATAAAATTTAAAAAACCTTTTTATTTTTTTAAAATGATCCTTTACTTTAAACCAAATTTTCCTTGCTTTAAATATCGCATATTCCAATTGTTTACTACAACTTTTATTATTGGCAAGAAAGAACATGAAAAGATCTAAGGAAACATGTTGAAAATTTTAAAATAAGATTTATAGTTTGATTTAAAGAGAAATTACAACAGCTAAATTGATTAAAATATCAAAAGACCGAACAATACAAGGAATACTAAAATCAAGTTACTCAATCCTCTTTTTTACCTATTGCTGTGTACGCAGCTAAAACATTGATAGGATCATTTTGTAACCACCGCAAAAGTACCTACCAGAAGAAAAATCAGCTAAAAATTTATTGCAAAAAGCATAAAATATTTAAAAATATATATTATATTGGAATAATAAAATTAATAATAAGTAATAAAAGATATCAAAATATGTGGTGTTTTCCAACCACCCAATGTCACACAAATATGCAGCATTTCATAGTTACATTCACCGATTATTAACAATTCCACTATCACAATCCAACTATCATACAGAAGTTAACACCCTTAAACAAATAGCATTCAACAATGGATATGACCCCAATATCATTAACAAACTTATAAATAAGAGACAACTCAAACTATTGAGAGAGACTGCGTTCCCCAGACACTTGACCATCAAAACTCATTATTTTTCTTCGCCTTACCTTCAAGAACGTCTTTCTGGAGATCTTAGATACATCCTAAAAAGATCTGTTGAGAATACCCACATTTCTTTCAAAGTCCCGAACAATCTAGGACAATGCTTAACCAATACTAAAGATCCCATCAACTACATGGATCGTAGTGGTGTTTATAAATTACAGTGCTCTGATTGTGATGCTACATATATAGGTAGAACCTGTAGATCACTAACTTCTCGTTCCTTAGAACACACTAAAAAAGAGAACACTTCCACCTTCTCTCAACATCTTGCACAACACAAACATACCCTCAACATCCCAGAAGACGTCTCTTTGTTACATAATATTCCCCAAAAAAAATTTTCTAAAATTAGACCTATATGAAGACTTGGAAATAGTCAAAGAAAAACAAAAAAGCCCCAATTGTGTTAATCGCTATGTATCTTTCAACCGTGACTTTCAACCTTTACATCGTCAACTTTTTTCATAGTCCGCACTTCATAAAACTGTCCTATTTTCTCTGCCTTATTTTCCTATACAAATGTCAACACCTTATTCCTACATAATCTTGTTGTTCTTCAAACACCCATTCTATACAATATCGTCACACCTTCCTCTCATAAATTTCTGACCCCAATTTTAACTTCAGAACCATCCACATCCATCATACCAACATTTCACTATCTTATCCACTCTTCACTTCTACATCGTTTTCCTGTTAATTTTGTTCTCTTTCATTATTTCTTGGTCAATTCATATATTAAACATGTATCCAATAGTTTTAATTTAGTAATCACTCAAACATTATCTAACAATTTATTAAAATTCATAATCTACCATATTACAAAGAATCCTAATCTACCTTTGTCCACCTTTTTTCGGTCAACAACTTAGTAGCACACTTTCAACAAATTTCATACAACAAATTTCAGGTTTCTACAAACTGAATTTAATACCACCTAAATAGATTTTGTTCAGGGTGCTAGATACTTTAAGTATAAAGGACCCCTATTATCTCTAATTGTTGATCAACTCCTTTTCTCCTTCAACCCCCCCCCCCTCCTTTTCTTCGGTCATTTCTTTTACTTTCATTCTCATTAGTCTCTGAGGAACCCAGTTTCTTCAATTTTAAATTCAATCACATATATTATTACTTCAACTTCTTCAGCCTGTAGATTTCCATCTTACTAAACTTAATTTTATTAATTTTTCACCATAGGAGCATTCTTAAATAAAGTCATTTAAATATGAGGTCTGATATTAGCTTCAAATATTTGTTATTTAATTTTTACCTTGTCCTAGATGTGTTAAACATAAAAGGATAAATTTCATAAATAAAAGCTAACCCAAAATTAAATACACTTTAGACCACATTCCATACGACGAAAAGCAACATAAGTTGCCTAAGCCACAGGTCATTATATTAATCATGACTATAAAACCATCATTGATTTGACATCTTTTATACCCTAAATTAATAAATAAAAAGTTTTTAAACCCCAACACCTAGATTGTTGTTATTTTTTAAAATCATCAAAACTTGTTGAATCTTTTGGCTGTAGTAATACTATGTACAACTTTTATAGTTTTTGTTGCATTGACATTCTGTTATCTTCATCCTTCAAAAGTATCTTGTCAATCAGTTCCACGTTGTTCTCCGAGTGCAGAGGTACCCTCTCGCCCGGCTCTGGAACCCAATTGAGCCATGTGTTACCTTTGGTCAAATTTAATTTAATATTGAACATCACAGTTATTTTATAACACAATGTACAACATTTCATAACTAAATGTAATTTAAAGGGTTTTTACCCTAATATTTTGGTGGCTCAGGCATTATGACCTAGTAAGTATAACCATCTTTTGCTTTTCAACCATAGTCAAAATTTCAAAATCTCGTTTGTTTTAACTAAATGGTTTATACTTATTTTTAGGCATTTTCGATTTTAATAACCTGATGATGGACTGTGTGGTCCGAAAACGTTTGTTTTATTGATGTGCCCCTTTTAAGGGTTTTTTAAATAAATATACCCATTTACAAAGATTAACCTCTTTTTGTTATACGTGGTATACAGCCAGCTACAGGAATTTTTCCTTGTGGATTTTATATCAAAATAGTTTAAGCAGTGTTAAAACCTACCCTGGTAATATTCAATCTGACCACAATCCATTATCGGGCATGTACAGAAACAAGTTAAAGAAAACATACAGAAAAACATGACATGGGAAAACTGAAATGTAGTTAACTAAAAGAAATAGTCAGCAAAACAATAAATAGAAAATTCAAAGAAATCGATATTACAACGGAAAATACAAAAGAGAAGATAGAATCTCTTAATAAAACGATGGACGACATTAAAGACAATTTTATGAAGAACGAAGAAGGTAAGAATAAGACATGAGGCATAAGAGATTCTGCAGCTGATAAAAGAAGAAAGAAAAAACAAGAACAATACTTCTATGTATGAAACATTACAGCGAGGAGATATGCAGAGAAAGATCAGAGAAGCCAAACAGAAAGAACTGAAGAAAAAATGCCAAGAAATCGAAATTCTACAAAGTAAATATAATGACTTCAACGTGCATAATGAGGTAAGAGAAATTACAGGCAAATATAAAAGTAAAAGAATAAGTAAACTTGTTAATGGCAACGGACAAGTAATCGTGGATGAAAGAGGGTATTGATAATACCTGGAAAAATTACATTCGAAATTTATTTTTTTAAAGCGAGGGAAAATCAGTTCCCAATATCTAGGGAGAAAAAAAAGAAAGCTTTAGAACCAGGTGGAGTAGAGAATGCAGTGGAGTAACGCCCACTGCTAAACATAGGCCTCTCGCATGCTTTTCCACTTAGTCCGATTTTGCGCCATCTAAATCCAATTTGTAGTCCAATAGTTTTTATGTTATCTGTCCATCTCGTTGAAGGGTCGACCTCTATTTCTGTAAGCTTGTATTTGGGTCTCCATTCCAAAATTCTTTTTGTCCACCGGTCATCAACTGATCTTGCTACATGACTTGCCCAGTTCCACTTTAGTTTTGTTATAATATGTTCCTTATAATAACGTCTGCTACTCCTGATCTTCTGCGTATAGTAGCATTGGGTTTTCTATCACGTAGAGAAATCCCTAACATAATTTTCTCCATTGCTCTTTTCGCAACTTGTAGTCTATTCACTGTTGTTCTTGTGAGCATTAGGGTTTCTGCGCTGTAGGTCATCACTGGCAAAATACATTAACTAAATACTTTTCTTTTCAGACACATTGGAATCTTAGACCTAAAAATATCATTCATTCTTCCAAATGTTTGGTTGTCTCTCGATTCTGATCCCATGGCCCAAGTATTTATAGGAGTCAACTCTTTTTGTGGCAGTATGGAGTTCTTGGAGCATTGATCAGTGCCTCATCAAAGCTGTCTGCAATAAGAACGATATCATCTGCAATTTAAGGATATTAAAAAATTTTCCATAGAATAATATGTAAAATCTTTAATAATATGTATGACATAGGCAATGTTTCAAAATATTAACTAGTTTCAGAATTATTACATTACCAAAGAAACAGGGAGAAAACAATGCGGAGAATATAGGCTAATAAGTCTAATGAGCCATACACTAAAACTTTTTCTTAAAATTATACATCGCAGAATATACAACCTATAGGGAGAGAAAATAAACGGCACACAGTTTGGATTTATGAAAAGCACAGTTACGAGGGATGCATTGTGTATATCTCTGCATCTTTGGAAAACTTGATATCTATTCCTGCTTTGTGGATTACCAAAAAGCATTTGACACAGTTTAAGACCGAAAAATGATGGATGTTTTAACACAATCCCAAATAGATGATAAAGACCGACGTATAATACAAAATATATACTGGAGCCACAATAAAAAAAAATCTTGGATATGAACCGACAAAAGCGATCCAGATTCTTCGAGACGTTACACAAGAATGTATACTTTCACCTATATTCTTCTTCTTCTTCAGCCTTAAGTAATCCAACTTTGGATATAGGCCTCCCAAAATCAATCCAGTGCCTTCTATCCTGAGCCAATTGCTTCCAGTTGTGCCCTCCGATCTTCTTAATATTATCCACCAATATCATTTGTGGTTTACCTCTGCTTCTCTTTCGTAACCATGGTCTCCATTGTTGTATTTCATGGTTTCATCTCTGATCTTTTAGTCGGGCATTGTGTCCTGCGAAGCTCCATTTTAATTTGGCAGCATGTTTTCCTCCGTTCTTCACTTTCGTTTTGCTTTTAATCCATTTGTTTGTTTTTCTGTGAGCCATACGTGAGTATAGGGAGGATATACTGATCGTAAATTCTGATTTTCAAACAT